TTGCTTTCAAGAAGCAGTCTTGCAAGTAATGGCTCTGGGTTATGTCACGGGTTTGTTACGGTAATAGGCAGACTACACAAATACACCCTCCATTAAATTCCCGTAGCCCTATAAACCCTACACCCTGCACGCGAATCCTGAGCCCCCTAAGACTCCTATGCCCCCTACGATGAGATATAGTTCATGGGAGAGCTCTTATACCGTTTATGAATGCATTCTTCTATCTTTGAGATGAAAGAGCTCCTCTATCTTCTCATAGGAAATGAAAGAGATCCTGCATATGAAAAGAAAAGACCCTTCGAGAAAAGTTAAAGAATGGTAACGAATCCATGTCATCAATCTTTTCATGCGTAATGAGAGCGCTCCACACTCTTAATGGGACATGAAAGAGCTCCTCCATTTCTTTGAAATCAAAACCTTGCTTTCTCCCTGAGTGACAAAGATCTCTTGGAAATGAGAGATCTCTGCTACCACTTTCGAAAAAATGAGCTCCTATATCTCGGAGTCGGAAAGATAAAGATGTGAAAAGGAGCCCTCCCAAACCTACGAGGCGCCAGAGCACCCGCCCGCAGCTTTTCAAGCAGGAGAAAGGCTCTTTCGTAAGGGGCGGAGGAGCTCTGTCATTCCCTCAACCAGAGGGAGGGGAGCCCTCTCATGACCTATTCAAGAGAGAGGAGATAGCAGAGCTTGCTCATTGCTCTTTAGGATGCGGAGGAGCTTTTGCACAAGAGGCAAGGAGCTCTTCTACTTCTACAAACGCATAGAAGAGCGTTTAGATGACCTGTTACGAAATAGAATAAATGCTGTCTCACGTAAGCGAGAGAGACTGATGAGTTATGCGACGCTCCATTTCAGGGATAGGCCTTCGAAACCTTCAATTAGGGTTGATCTCTCGCAAAAGGTAAAAGAGCTATGTCATTTCCTACGAAGCGATAAGCAGCCTAGAGACAATCGGCTTCTCTCATGTTTGCTTCATGGATAGAGAAGCTTTTCTCAACCAAAACCAAAGAGACGGATCATGTCCCATTGAAAGATAGACGAGTTCTGTCTTTGTACGTTACGAGGTGGGGGAGCTCTTTCACAAGAGGTAGGTAGAGGACTCTCTCATGTCCGGCAAAGAGATAGAGACGATCTTTCATGACCCGCTACGAGATAGAGAGCCTCTTTCATGTAAAGGGTAAGATATAGAAGAGCTGTGAGCTCCTTTACCTATCGACGGGAACTCTTATAGCTTTCATGAATGAGTTCTTGCCAGTGAACAAAGGGAGCTCTTTCACAAAGGGTAGATAGAGACCTCTCTCATTTCCTGTAAAAGAAAGAGGAGGTCTCTCACGACCTGATTATTGCGAGATAGAGAAGCTATGTCATATAAAGATAAGAAATGGTAGAGCTGAGGACTCCTCTGCCTAGTGACGGGAAATCAGTTAGATAGGACATGAGACAACTCTCATACATTTCTTATGAATGAGTTCTTCAATCTCTGAATAGAAAATGAATGAGCTCCTGTGTCTTCGCATACGAAATGACAGTGTGGAAATGAGCTGTCTCATGACCTGTTAGGAAACAGAGGAGATAAAGAGCTTGCTCATTGCAAAAGAGGAAGCGGAGGGCTCTTGCAGAAGAGGCAAGGAGCTCCTTCACTTGCTGCAAAGATACAGAGGAGCTTTCAGATGACCTATTCAGAGATAGCGAAACTCGATCACGTAAACGATAGAGATTGAAAAGTTATGTCATGCCCCATTTCAGGGATAGAGAATGGCCTTCCAGACTTTCATTTCGAATAAAGGAGAGATCTGTCACAGAAAGGTAGAAGAGCTATTCATTTCTTATTATATCACGGGTAGACAAGCTTTTTCTCAAATACAAACAAAAAACCTGGCTCATGCACCATTGAAAGATAGACGAGTTCTGTCACTCTCGATCACAAGGTGGAGGAGCTCTTTCACACGAGGTAGGTAGAGCACGCTCTCTTTTCTTGCAAAGAGATAGAGAAGATCTGTCATGACTCCATGAACCGTTACGAGATAGAGAAGCCTCTTTCATGTAAAAGATAGGTGATGGCAAACGAGAAATAGGAACCAAAGGAGATAGAAGAGGTTGCTCATTGCAAAATAGGAAGCGGAGGAGCTATTGCAGAAGAGGCAAGCAGCTCCTTCACTTGCTGCGCAGACACAAAGGAGCTTTCAGATGACCTGTTCAGAGATAGCGAAACTCTCTCACGTAAACGATAGAGACTGATGAGTTGTGTCCCCATTCAAGGGATAGAGAATGGCCTTCCAAACTTTCATTTCGGGTAAAGAAGAGATCTGTCGCAAAAATGTAGAAGAGCTATGTCATTTCTTATGCATCGATAAACGGCTACTCGCATGATTTCTTCATCGATAGAGAAGCAGCTATTTCTGAATAGAAATTCACAATGGAGCTGTCTCATGTCCCAGTGAAAGATAGACGAGTTGTGGCATTTGATTTTGAGGTGAAGGAGCTCTTTCACAAGAGGTAGGTAGAGGACTCTCTAATGTTCTGCAAAAAGATAGAGACAATCTTTCTTGACCCGCTACGAGATAGAGGAGCCTCTTCCATGTAAAGGGTAGGATGTGGTAGAGCTGTGAGCTCCTCTACCTATCGACGGGGAATTAACAAGAAAGTACATTCGAGAGCTCTTACAGCTTCTATGAATGAATTCTTGTGATTGAACAAAGGGAGCTCTTTCACAAAAGGTAGATAGAGACCTCTCTCATTTCCTGCAAAAGAAAGAGGAGGTCTCTCATGACCTATTGCGAGATAGAGAAGCTATGTCATATAAAAGATACGAAATGGTAGAGCTGAGCGCTGGTGACGGCAAATGAACTAGGTAGGACATGAGAGAGCTCTTATACATTGTATGAGAGATTTCTTATATCTATATCTCTTGTGAACGAGTTCTTCAATCTCTGACTAGGAGATGAATGAGCTCCTGTATCTTCTCATACGAAATGACAGAATGGATATAAATGATGTCTTCTAGCTGTTAACGCAACATGAAAAAACCTCCTCTATCCCCTAAAAGAGAAGGAGAGAGGGAAGCCCGCTCATGACCTATTAGGAACCAGAGGAGATAAAAGAGCTTGCTCATTGCAAAATAGGAAGCGGAGGGCTCTTGCAGAAGAGGCAAGGAGCTCCTTCACTTGCTGCAAACATACAGAGGAGCTTTCAGATGACCTATTCAGAGATAGCGAAACTCTATCACGTAAACGATAGCGAGAGATGCGTTATGTCATGTCCCATTTGATGGACAGAGAATGGCCCAGAGTGGCCTTCAAAACTCTTCATTGATAGAGAAGCTGCGAAGCTATTTCTGAAAATCGACATAGAAGAGAACTCTCTCATTTCCTGCAGCGTGAAAAAGGAGGTCTCTCATGACCTATTGCGAGATAGAGAAATTTCAGGTAAGAGTTAGGTAATGGTAGAGCTGGGCACGCCTCTGCCTCTTGACGAGAAATGAGCTCGTGTATACTTCATGAATGCGTTCTTCTATCTCTCAGATGAAAGAGCTCCTCGATCCTTCTTATAGGGCATGAAAGAAATCCTGTGTTCGAACTGAAAAGACCCTTTGATAAGCAAAAGAAAAAGGGAAACGAATCGATGCCTTCTATCTTTTAGTGCAGAGCTTCTCACTTCTAATGCGACATGATACAGCTCCTCTATTTTCTTGGAAATGAAACAGGTTGCGTTCTCTCCTGAGTGAAAGATGTCTCTGTCGTGGAAATGAGATCTCCTCTATGTTTCTAAGAAATGAGATAGCTCACCTCTACCTCGTAATCGGAAATGAGAGAGCCCTTCGCCCCTCTTCAGGCTATGAAACAACTTGTCTATCTCTTACTTCAAAGTGTGCTAGAGCTACATGGCTGCACTTGCTGGCGCCGGTGCACACACAGACCAAACCTTCACTATTACTGTTACTACTACTAATACTATTACTAGAATTATTACTATTCCTATTCCTATTACTATTACTAGTACTATTATTATTCCTATTACAATTACGGTCAGTATTATTATACTCATAATAATATTAAAATTATTATTATTATTGCACTACTACTGAAAGAAGAACCAGCCGTGAAATAGACCCTAAAGGTCTCGGCCACATATATATATATATATACACGTAGTATCCCACACGTACAAAAAACAAATCCAAACTAGCATGTGCCAATGGCTAATGATATGTCAATGAGCTCACATATACATATGTACATGTATACATATGTGGATACAAATATTCGCTATGTTCATATACACATGTATAGCGCATACGCATACAATATACAACCCGAGACCCTAACCCCCTGAACACACACACACACACAGGGACACACACGGAGAGAGAGGAGAGAGAGAGAGAGAGAGAGAGAGACACACACACACACACACGCGCACACACACCCTCACACGCACACACGCACACGCACACGCACACGCACACACGCACACACGCACACACGCACACCCGCACACGCACACGCACACGCACACACGCACACACGCACACACGCACACGCACACACGCACACACGCACACACGCACACCCGCACACGCACACGCACACGCACACGCACACGCACACGCACACGCACACCCACAGAGACAGAGACAGAGACAGAGACACAGAGACACACCAGAAACCCTGAACCCAACCTGCCTCAACCCCCAGAATCGCCAAACTCCCCAAAACACCACCTGCGAGACGCAACCCGCAAGCCCCTATTTTGGGGCTGACGGCTAGACCAACGGTTTTTGGACGGTTTGTCGTTTAGATTCACAATCTTAGGTTGGACTAAGCATTCGGGCTTCTATAGGGTTTAGGGCTAGGTAGGGCAAGGATCTACTGGAGGTTCATGGTACTTAAGTGCCTGAATGTGGTGAGACTTGGGTTATAAGTACATTAATTATTGGGTTATTAAGTACCACGAACCTCCCAGTAGGGTCACACGAAGCGTGTTGGGTTGAGTTGGAGCTCCAGGTACTTCTCGGCGAAGATCATGGCGCTCGACAGTGTCAGCACGACCTGGGAAGGGCTGCCTGCTTCTCGGCTCCTTGGTCCTAAAGCCCCTAGAAGCTCAAGAACTCAACCCTAACCCCTAAACCCGAAAGTCATAAGAGACCTCAGATCCTTTAACTTCAACCTTAAGACCTAGCTCAACCCTCGGCAGTAAAGCTGAAGAAATGTAATCCCACAAGCCTCGAGAGCAAGAGCGAGAGCGAGAGCGCGAGAGAGAGAGAGAGAGAGAGAGATGTAAGCTCTCCTAAAGCAAGAAGCCATGTACAATTGCCTATAGTCTCAAGGAGGGCCCCTAAACCCTGAACCCTGAACCCTGAACCCTAAACCCTAAACCCTAAACCCTAAACCCTAAACCCTAAACCCTAAACCCTAAACCCTAAACCCTGTTCGAACATAGGCCTCCAAAGCAACCTTGCACAAAGCCCCCCCCTGCACTTGACCATGGCCACCAGGCAAACCAATCTGCTCAGTCCTTGGACGCACTTGCCCTAAACCCCAAACCCTAAAACCCTAAACCCTAATTAAACCGTAAACCCTAATTAAACCCTAAACCCTAAACCCTAAACCTGAGGCCTTAATGACCCTGACCCCCCAAACCCTAAACCCTGAACCCTCAACCGAAAACCCTGGACCCGCAACAGCAAAGCTTCAAACCCAAACCCTCAACCCCAAGCCCTAAACCCCAAGCCCTAAACCCCAAGCCCTAAACCCCAGACCCTAAATCCCCAAACCTCAACCCCAAACCCTAAGCCCTAAAGCCTGAAGACTAAACCCCCAAAATCCTAAACCCCCAAAGCCTCAACCCCAAGCCCTAAACCCTAAACCCTAAACCCCAAACCCTAAACCCTGGCCCTAAACCCTAAACCCCAAACCCTCAAGTGAAGGGAGGTGGGAAGCCCTTGGGGCCTCGTCATGCTCCTCAAACTTCTCATTGATGCCTGGGAACCTCAGGATCCGGCGGGTAGCTCCATGAGACGGTTTAGGGTTTAGGGTTTATTTGTGGGGGTTTGGGGGTTTGGGGTTTAGGGCTTGGGGGTTTGGGGTTTAGGGCTAGGGTTTAGGGTTTGGGGTTTTGGGGCTTAAGATTTGGTGTTCAGGACACCTTGAGGCACTAAGCCCTGAACCCTGAACCCATACGTAACCTTCTCCCTGACCCCTTGCAAAACCCTCAACCCTTTTTGCAGATCCATGTGGGCATGTACGGCTTGTGACCTGGCGTTTGCTAGACAGGTCTGAGGTTTAGGGTTTGGGGCATCATTCGTTGTTGAGGGCACCTGGCAGCACTCTGCCCAGGCCAGCAAGTTGTTCATCAGGCTCCATCGAGCAAGTACGTCGTATGCGCCATGCGGTGGGCAACTAAGATGGAGAACCCCTGAAGATCGCAGGCCAAAGATTAGCGCCACCTGCGCTGCTTCGTCTGTTTCATTGCAGCACTTGGGTAGCTCCCCTAAACCCTAAACCCTAAACCCTAAACCCTAAACCCTAAATTAGGGCGCCGTACTATACAACGATATATAATCGAGGGGGACCCAAACAAGGGACCCTGGAGAACGTATCCCTCTGCACCCGGCAGATCCCTTAGCACCGTGCTTCCTTAGGGGTTTCGGGTAAACCCTAAACCCTAAACCTTAAACCCTAAACCCGAAACCCCTAAACCCTAAACCCTAAACCCCTAAAACCCCTAAAGCCCTAAACCCTAAACCCTAAACCCTAAACCCTACACTGAAGGACCCCCCAAGAGCCCATTTTTCTCGGAGTTTTTTGTGTGCCGGCTGCTTAGGGTCGCCCAAACCCCTGAGCTCAACCATCGTGCTCGTGTGGGAGTCTCCGGGTGAGGCTTGCGATGTAGGCCATCCCCAACCATCCCAAGAAATACCTACTTGGAGATTCATGGGTACATCTAACTCCATAACTGCAAGTACTTACATCCTACTTACAGGCCTTACGGGACCTTAGAAGTACTGTGATAATTGGGTTACAAGTACCCTGAAACTCCAAGTAAGAGCCTCGAAAGCAAAACCACCCAAAGCCGCCCTAAGCCCGAACACCTTTCAAAACAGTAAACCCTAAACCCAAAACCCTGAACCCCAAACATCTTCAGGAAGAGGTTTGAACGCAGCCCCCAAAAAGCCCCAAAACCGAAACCCTTCAAAGCCCTCAATCCCTAAACCCTCAATCCCTAATCCCTAAACCTTAAACCCTAAACCCTACCATTTAAGGGTATATCACATCTCGGGATCCAAGCCAGAGCTCGCGGGCCACGTCCGAGCCACGCCGATCTGGTTGCTGAGGGTCTTATGGTGGGGGGGAGTGTAGGGCTTAGGGTTTAGGGTTTAGGGTTTAGGGTTTAGGGTTTAGGGTTTAGGGTTTAGGGTTTAGGGTTTCCGGTTTAGGGTTTAGGGTTTAGGCATTGAAGGTTTTTAGGGCTGCTAAGGCTCTTGCTGTAGGGTTTATAGGGTTTGGGGCTCTCCGGATTTAGGGCTTAGGGATGCGGGCTGCCCCATGAGGGCCCTAGACACCATCAAGCTGAATAACGCGGGAACCTAAACTTTAAACCCTACACCCTGAACCCCAAACCCTATAAACCCTAAACCCTGCAATTGTTTCGAGAAGTTTAGGGCTTAGGGTCTTCAGACCTACTCAACGATGGGGCTCTGGAGGATTGTATGGCTCTAGGATCTGAAGAACTAGGGTCCATACCCTGTACTCTCAACCCTAAACAGCCTTAGACCCTAAACCCTGAACTCTAAACCTCAAACCCTAGGCCCGAAAAAGCCGTGCATTCAACGCCCCAAGCCTGCTCTCAAAACAAGATGCAGCAGAACGCTGTGTCGCGGAACTTGCGCCCGACGTCCCAAAAAGCCCTAAACTGGAGTTTTGGGGCTTGTGTGCTTGGGGTTTAGGGGGTTTAGGGTTGAGGGGGTGCAATTCGGGGGTTTAGGGGGGTTTAGGGGATCTAGGATGTAGGGTGCAGGGTTTAACCCTCTCCCAAGAAACAGCAACCCTAAACCCTAAACCCTAAACCCTAAACAAAAAATGCCGGCCCTCTCTACTTGTCCATGCCGGGACGGCAGATTCCACAGACCGACAGCTCTTCGTCCTGGAGCACTTCCTTGGCGCACAAACAAAACACAAGACAATCCCTAGACCACCTATAACCTCTAAACCCTAAACCCTAAACCCTAAACCCTAAACCCTCAACCCTAAACCCTAAACCCTAAACCCTAAACCCTAAACCGAATCAAGAGACGAGGTAGACGGTTTGGCGCTTGGCAGCCTACGCATCAATAAGGGGGAAGCTTGTATGTTCAGGGCACTTCTAACCCCTAGGGTTTAGGGTTTAGGGTTTAGGGTTTAGGGTTTAGGGTTTAGGGTTTATCAAAACTGCACATATGAGCCCCCTAGGTCCTCTGAGTAGGTTCCAAGTACAGTCAGGGGTTCTAACCCTAAACCCTAAACCCCAAACCCTAAACCCTGAGCCCCATAACTGGGGTTCTAAATCACCCATGAACCTCCGAGGAGCACACCAGCGTTACGGCGCTTCGTGAGGACCTAAGCCCTCCCTAAATTCAACTAGGGCCCCCAAACAGCACATAAGTCAAAATTAGGATAGGGATATCCCATATTCTAAACCCCCTTATACTGAAGCCCAATAAGGAAGGGATATCTCTATAAAATGCTTATGCTTATGTCCTTTGTGGGTCCCTACCTAAACCCAAAACCCCAAACCCTAAAATTTTAAAGCCCCAAGACCTAAAGACGGCTGTCGGGCCAAAAAGAAAGGATCGAATAAACACAAACAACCGAAGGTTTAGGGTTTAGGGTTTAGGGTCTAGGGTCTAGGGTTTAGGTTTCGGGTTTAGGGCTTACTTCTTATTGATCCCTTTCATTTTGTTTGACCCTTTTCCATTTTTTGACCCCCTCTCCCAAGCCCTGAAGCCGAAACCCCAAGTGCTACTTCAGGAAGGCCTTGACCATAAACCCTAAGCCCTAAACCTTACTTAACCCCAAAGCCCTAAACCCTAAACCCTAAACCCTAAACCCTAAACCCTAAACCCTAAACCCTAAACCCTGAACCCTGAACCCTGAACCCTGAATCCTATACAACCCCTGGTTCTCGGAGGCCGACCCAAACGCTGATGTTCACCTGAGCTGCAGAGCAGAGGGTCCAGGGTCTAGGGTTTTCAGGGTTCTTAGGATTCTTAGGGTTTAGGGTTTAGGGTTTAGGGTTTAGGGTTTAGGGTCTAGGGCGACGGCTTGCTGGACCTCGGGGCTGGTGGAGGGCGCGCAGCCCGCAGGCTCGAGACATTTGGTGGTTCTGGGCATGCAAGGCAAGGCAGAGATACAGCACACATCTACTAGTTGCTTCAGAACCCCCCCCCCAAAAAAAAAAAAAAAAACGAAAATTAAAAAAACAAAATAAAATAACACACATACATATACATATACATATATATATATATTCCCTGCTAAGGGTAACGTAGGGATGGATATCTTGTATGCTTTGGGGGTTCTGAAGCAGATCGTACCTCAAAGTGCTCCACATACGGCACCACTAAGATCCGGTTTAGGGTTTAAGGTTCAGGGTTTAGGGCGTCCCATGGCTCCAAGAGTCCCAAAGCCCTAAACCCTAGCCCTAAACCCTGAACCCTAAACCTTAAACCCTAAACCCTAAACCCTAAACCTTAAACCCTAAACCCTAAAACCCATAAACAAGCCCCTAAAACTCTCTCTCTGTTGACCGGGAGGCCCAGATGTCGGGTACCCGGAAGTTGAACACCGGCACCCATCTGGAGGAAGCAGCTCTCAGGGTCTAGGAGGGTTTAGGGTTTAGGGTTTAGGGTTTAGGATTTAGGGTTTAGGGGGTTGACGGGGTTTGGGAGCTTCGGGTTTTTGGGGTTTCGGAGCTGCTCTTTTTGGGGTTTCAGGAAACTAGGGGGGCTTCAGGGGGTTTAGGAGTTCACGGGGTTTAGGCGGTTTAGGGGTTTTTAGGGGTTTTAGGGTTCAGGGATTTAGGCGTTTTTTGAGGTTTAGGAGTTTAGGGTTTAGGGGTTTTAGGGTTGAGGGTTCACGGATTAACGAGCTTTAGGAGTTAGGGAGTTTAGGTGTTCTTTCTATTCTTTATTATTCCGATTTTTATTATCATTCTTCTGATGATTATTATTATTACTATTATTATTATCATATTATTAATATTCTCATCACTATTATTAGTAGTTTTTCTTTTTTGGGGCAAGGGGAGGGTTAGGGCTTAGGAGGTTCGGGCTCAGAGGTTTAGAGTTTTTGCTTTTAGGGGAGAGAGAAGGGGAGGCAGAGGCTGATGCCAGAGGATCAGTTGAGGTTCCGGCTGGGGGTCTCCCACCTGGATGGAGGGGTAGGGCTTTAGGGTTTACAGGGTTTAGGGTTTAGGGTTTTTACGGTTGCTTATAGGGTGCGATTTGGGCTTCAGGGTTTAGGACGCCGGGCCTATCGGTGAAACAACATGAACAGAAACCGAAATGCAGGCAATATATCGCCCGACGTTTACATCCACAGGGGGCCCTACACAGACACTGACCCAGAAGGACAAGGACCCCGCATTGGACCCTCATTTAGAGAACTACCCACATAAGCACAAAAGGGTTTAGGAGGCATCAGGGCGTTTTAGGGTCAGATTTGATGGGGGCAAAGGAGCCAGAACTGGACCCAAACGCCCTCCCAATAGAACGGCCCAAAGGCTGAGGGCTGAGGGTTTGGATGTGGTGGTTTAGGGTTTAGGGTTTAGGGTTCAGGGTTCAGGGCTCAGGGCTTAGGGTTTAGGGTTTAGGGCTTTGGGCTTTGGGCTTTGGGCTTTGGGCCATCATCATGCGAACATTCCTCAACACTTCGCCCCAGAGTGCCTCGTGCCAATACAGCGATCCAGGTCCTCCTTCTTCTTGAACCCGCCTGGAGCACAGAAGACCCTAAACCCTAAACCCTAAACCCTAAACCCGGAACCCTAAACCCTAAACCCTAAACCCTGAAGACTCTCACAGACTCACAGACCCTGAGAACATGAGCCAGAAGTACAGCCACAAACACGAAGAGTCGTCCTAAACCCTTAACCCTGGACCCTAAACCGTTAGGTCTAGGATTACGCAAACGATGCAAAGTCGAGCGATGTCGAACGCGGCTGAACCAAAAAACAACCTCATAAACCCCCTTCCACCACCCCACCACAGCCAGAACGCCCAACCCTAAAACCTAAACCCAAAAGGGGTTTGTACCTTAGGGGTTCTGGGCGCTTTGGGGTTTAGGGTACCCGTCATAAACCCTAAACCCTAAACCCTAAACCCCAAACCCGTAAAGTTTAGGGGCCTTAGGGGGTTTTGGGGGTGTAGAGAAGCCCGAAGCCCAAGGCAATCAGCTCAGGTAGCTGCAGAAAAGGCTGAGGCCCTTCTCGTGTGGCACCTTGGGCTTAGGGTTTAGGGTTTAGGGTTTCGGATTTAGGGTTTAGGGTTTAGGGTTTAGGGGGGGGGGGGGGGGGTGGTTTGCGTTCAGGGTTTGGGGTTTGGGGTTTGGGGCTTAGGGGTTTGGGGGTTAGGGTTTAGCGTTTAGGGTTTGGAGTTTGGGGTTTAGGGTTTGGGAGGACCTTGTTTAGGAACGTTGTTCGTGGAGCTTACAGGGCCTACAGCAGGCCAAGGAAAATTAGGGCCGCTTTTCCTGAACATATGGGTTTGCTGTTTGGCGTGTTGGGGCTAGGGTTGAGGGTTTAGGATATAAGGTTTAGGGCAGGCCTTATACCCTAAACCCTAAACCCTAAACCTCAAGCCCCAAGCCCTAAACCCTAAACCTAAACCCTGGCCAAACCCTAAACCCTGGCCAGGCCGAGCTTTCTGGATTTTCCGGGCTCTGGAGCCCTAAGATTCCTGGAGCCCAAGGCCCTTAAGGCCCTTAAGGCCCTTAAGGCCCTTAAGGCCCTTAAGGCCTGAAGGCCTGAAGGCCTGAAGGCCTGAAGCCCTAAGCCCTAAGCCCTAAGCCCTAAGCCCTAAGCCGTAAGCCCTAAGCAGGGCTCTGGGTTCTCAAAACGATTGGATCTTCGGGGGCTTTCTAGGCTCAGAGGGTGCCTATCCATTCGGGGTTCGATCTTGTAGGGGCTGTTTGACGTATAAAAGGGTACAAATACCAAAACCAGCTTACAAGGGCCCTGAACCCCCAAACCCTTGAGGGTTTAGGGTTAATTAGGGTTTAGGGTTTAGGGTTAGGGTTTAGGGTTTAGGGTTTAGGGTTTAGGGTTCAGGGTTCAGGGTTGAGGGTTGAGGGTTGAGGGTTTAGGGTTCAGGGTTTAGGGTTCAGGGTTCAGGGTTGAGGGTTGAGGGTTGAGGGTTTAGGGTTCAGGGTTTAGGGTTCAGGGTTCAGGGTAAACACTTCCGGCGCGGGACGTCGTCGGCAAAGCCGAACATGAGCAGCGCCTTGTTGGTGATTTCATCCTGCGCTTTCTGGGATCCAGACCCTAAACCCTAAACCCTAAACCCTATATAAACCCTAAACCCTAAACCCTAAACCCTAAACCGTAAACCCTAAACCCTAAACCCTAAACCCGAAACAAAAGAGAGAGGCGGATAAAGAGGGAGAGAGAGGGAGAGAGAGGGAGAGGAGGGGGAGGGACAGCCATGACAAACCTGACAGTGAGAATTTTCGGCTTTAGAGGCTAACTTGGCAGCCCAGTATCCATGTTAGGGTTTAGGGTTTAGGGTTTAGGGTTTAGGGTTTAGGGTTTAGGGTTTAGGGTTTAGGGTTTAGGGTTTAGGGTTTAGGGTTTAGGGTTTAGGGTCGAAAGGGCTTAGAGGACTCAAGCTTTGCTTTGAGCAGTTCTCAGGCAGACTCGAGGAGCCAAAAGAAAAATCGACGCGTCCTCAGATAGGTGAATCAGGGTTGAGGGTTTAGGGTTTAGGGTTTAGGTTTTAGGGTTTAGGGTTTAGGGTTTAGGGTTTAGGGTTTAGGTTTTAGGGTTTAGGGTTTTGTGGATCTCGAACCCCATGGCGAAGGCAAATGCCTCGGCGCATACAGACACATGACCCCACCTCAGCTGGGTAGGTCACATCCAGAAATCTTGGCGCACCCAATGACCAGGCGTCAGCGTGCATCATGAAGGAGGGGGGTTTAGGGTTTAGGGTTTAGGGCAGTTTAGGGCTTAGGGTTTAGGGTTATTCGAGTCAATCGACCTTTTGCCTGGGTGCAGGGATAAGGGAATCATTCGGGTATGGGGGCTTACGAAAATAGGGCGACCCCTAAACTAGAACCCCCAAGTAGTAGGATCCCCTTATAAGAAGGACCCCAATGTGGTACCCCAATTTCGGAAACCCCTGTGTCGGTAGGGTTTAGGGTTTAGAGTTGAGGGCTCAGGGTTACCCAGAAAGACCACGGTCCTGCTCGACCATCATCGTGACGATGCCTGGCGCTTCGTGGCACGACGACTTATTGAGGGTTTAGGGTTTAGGGTTTAGGGTTTAGGGTTTAGGGTTTAGGGTTTAGGGTGCTAAACGCTAAACCCTAAACCTCCCTATGGACGATAAGCCCCTCAACCCTAGAAACCCTATGAGCTTCCAACAGTACACCCTAAACTCTAAACCCTGAACCGTAAACTGAACCTAAAAGCATCAGTTCAAGCATCAGTTCCACGTACTGAAATCCTGCACCCAGAAAACCTCAACCTCAAAAGTCTCGGCGTCAGATTCTTAAAGGCGCCTAAACCCTAAACCCTAAACCCTGAACCCTAAACCCTAAACCCTAAACCCTAAACCCTAAACCCCAAACCCTAACGCTCACACACAAGAGCTCCCGCGAATCTTCGCCGGCGGCGCCGTATGCAGCAGCATGAGGCCAAAGGTTCCTGGCTCTCAGTCTTCTGGGGTTTAGGGTTCAGGGTTCAGGGTTTAGGGTTTAGGGTTTAGGGTTGTTTGGGGTTTAGGGCTAGCTAGGGTTTAGGGTTTATGGGGCTTGTAGGGTTTTGGGTTTTGGGCGGGAGATGATGCTGTAGGGTTAGGGTTTAGGGTTCAGCGTTGTGGGAGCAACTCGTCAATGCATACTGGGCCGAGGGGAAGGGGGGTTTTGCAGGTTTTCCCCCCCTTCCCTGGCCCCAAACAAAAAAGGTCGTCCCAGCTTCTAACCATTGGGCCTTCAACTGACTCTAAGCCCTAAACCCTAAAACCCTGAACCCGTGGAACCGAAACTCCAGCAAGTCTCGAACCCTTTTCCGAGCCCCACACCCTATAAACCCTAAACCCTATAAACCCACCCTAAACCCTAAACCCTAAACCCCAAACCCCAAACCCCAAACCCCAAACCCCAAACCCTAAACCCTAAACCCTAAACCCTAAACCCTAAACCCTAAACCCTAGACCCTAAACCCTAAACCGGAAACCCCGTTGACAGGGCAGCGTGGCGGCATGCGAGAGGCCCGGTAGCAGCCCTGGAGAGACATCCAGCAAGGCTCGTGTCCGCCCGAAAACAGACAACAGGAGGGTTTAGGGTTTAGGGTTTAGGGTTGAGGGTTGAGGGCTTAGGGTTGAGGGACTCCTGGTAAGGGCCGTTAGCCCTGGTTCCCCTGCGGAAGGCCTAAAGAAGTCGGGTAAAGGGTTGAAGTTCGTAGACATGTGGTGAGTTCCCTAAATGATGGCCCCGTTACTATTTTAAGGCGGGCCCAAATAACTAGGGCACCCCAAAATGGACAATAATTTAAATTTTGAGAACTGAGCATGTATGTATAACTTGTGCTGCTCCTAAATGCCTGAAAATGATAATTCTTCGGAATCCGCAAATGACTCATGGATGACTCCTGAATTGATTCTAGGGTCCTGGGGTCTGTGTGCATTAAGAGCTCTACCGTAAGTAAACACTGTTTATAGTCACTATAAACCGGCCGCCTTGTCACGCAGCCACTTCGGCTTTGGGGGGGGACCCCGAAAACTGGCAACCCTAAACCCTAAACCCTCAACCCTAAACGGGGCCCGAAAGACCTTCGGTTCTGTATTTGCATACGATGAAAAAACTCAAAGAGGCCAGACCTAAACCCCTAAACCCCTCAACCCATAAACCCCTAAACCCCTAAACCCCTAAACCCCGAAGCACCTAAACCCTAAACCTCAGCCCTAAACCCCAAACCCCAAACCCCAAACCCCAAACCCTAAACCAAACCCCAAACCCCAAGCCCCAAACCCTAAACCCTAAACCCTAAACCCCAAGCCCTAAACCCTAAACCCCAACACTCCCGGCCCTGCCTTTGAGGCGGATGCCAGCTGGAGGGAGTGCTCTGGGCCCAGAAAGTGCATGACCTGGAAGAGCCGAAAGGACATGGGGGTTTAGGGTTTAGGGTTCAGGGTTTAGGGTTTGAGGTTTACGATTTGGGGTTTAGGGTTTGAGGTTTAGGATTTGGGGTTTAGGGTTTGGGGTTTAGGGTTTTGGGTTTTAGGGTTTCAGGTTTGGGGTTTTGGGGTTTAGGGTTTCAGGTTTAGGGTTTGGGGTTCAGGGTTTGAGGTTTAGGGTTTGGGGTTCAGGGTTTGGGGTGTTTGGGGGAGAGGGTTTGGGCTTTCGGGTCTGGGGTTCAGGGCTGAGGGTGCCCATCTAGCACGCAGGGACCCCTCAGAAACAAAATCGCAACTACGTGGGGTCCTTGCATTTTCCCTCTCAAGCCACCTGGGCCCTTTGGGAGGGGGTTGCGAGCCTAGGGTTCGGGTTGAGGGTTGAGGGTTTAGGGTTTAGGGTTTAGGGTTTAGGGTTTAGGGTTTAGGGTTTAGGGTTTAGGGTCTAGGGTCTAGGGTTTAGGGAAGGTTTAGGGTTTAGTCCTAGGTAGGAAAAAGGGGGGACCCTTAAAAGGGAACCCTTTTAACCCTCTTCTGGCTCTCTTAAACAGGGACCTTGTTCAGAGGGTCTATATCCCCAAAATTTCCCCTAATCCTCTGCCCGATTTAGGGTTTAGGGTTTAGGGCTTTAAGTTGAGGGTTGAAGCTTGAGAAGTTCAGGATCTCGCGCCTTATTTCCAAAAGAAAAATGTCTTGACAGCCACCTTGGAACAGATCCCTCAACTTACCCTAAACCTTGAAAGCCCAGACACAACCCCACGCACCGAAAAATCCAAAGTGAACCCACGCTGATACCCTAAACCCTAAACCCTAAACCCTAAAAGCGGCCCAAACCGAAAACCCTAAACCCTAAACCCTAAACCGTTCCCTAAACCCTAAACCCGAAACCTATGCTCCATCGCACGTGTTCAGCTCCCGTGGGGTGTGCGTAAGACCCGCGCGAAGAGCTTCGCAAACTCGAAGCAGGAGACAAAACCTTTGAGGGTTCAGGGTTTAGGGTTTAGGGTTTAGGGTTCAGGGTTCAGGGTTTAGGGTCTTGGATTTAGGGTTGCTGCTGGTTTTACACTTGTGGTACTGGCTCTTCCTGGGCTCTACAGGCCTTAAGGAGGGGGTAGGGGATTAGGGTTTAGGTTTTCTAGGTTAGAGGGATGCTTCTCGCATGCCGAAGTCTTAAAAGTGTAGGTTGCGGGTGCACGTTGCCGAGACGAATGCTTGGTTGGAAGATCTCTTCGCAGCCCAACCCTCCAAAGAAAACCCAGCAACGCCAAACGAGCGAAATCTCAAGGCAGCTCTCTTAGGGTCCCTTGATATGGGCCCTTACAAGGGGACCCCTTGTATATCCCTAGATACCCCTTCTATACCCTATACAACCCAAGGGCCCATACTTCAGAACCCGATAAAGAAAGTAAGGGACCCCCAACCTATAAGCCCCAACAACCTTTGATCCTAGAAACCTCTTCGTCGCTCGACGAACACTTTGAAGCGCGCAGTTCCTCTCCCTAAGCCCTGAACCCTAAAGCAAAAAGTTCAGGTAGGAAACCCTAAGGAGTAAACCGAACAAGCGACGGACACCAAAAACAAGAAGCCAGGAAATCATCAACCTGTTCCGCTGTCACTGGTACTTGCTGCATTACTGTCATCATTACAGTGTGGCTCGGGGTTGAGCTTGCGGAACCCCAAACCCCAAGCCCCAAGCCCCAAACCCCAAACCCTAAACCCTAATTCGGCTGGCTCTTCCCCTCCTCTCCAGAGCTGAGAGATGTGAGGGTCTGAGGCAAGCTGGGCCTGTTTGTAGAGACCCCAAACCCAGAGGCTCCAAAACCCCCTTAACTAAGGAATATACCTTAAATCATACTAGGGTTCCTATCATAATTTAAGGGATATTCCTTAATTCAGGGTTTTTGGAGCCGGATATTCCTTAATTCAGGGTTTTTGGAGCCTCTGGGAATGGAGCGAGGTCTCAACATCGAGGGTCCGTGTCTGGGGATCCGTTTTAGGGCTAGGGGGAGTCCACGAAACCTGGGACCCAATTTTGTTGGAAACCCGAAAACTCAAAAACCCTAAGCCCTAAAACCCTAAAACTCAAAACGCAAAAAACAAAATATAAAACAAAAACTGAAGCAAACCATAAAACAGGCCTAAAACTCTAAAAACCCTAAAGCCCGAAAACCTGAAACCCTAAACCTCATGGTGTGTATCAACCCCACCCCTGGTGTGGCGAAGGAAACAGCACCTCAGTCAATCTTCTGAGCTAGCATAAAACAAGCCTAAAACCCTAAAACCCTAAACCTCATGATGTGTATCAACCCCCCTGGGTGTGGCGTAGGAGTCAACCCTAAACCCTAAACCCTAAACCCTAAACCCTAAACCCTAAACCCTAAACCCTAAACCCTAAACCCTAAACCCTAAACCCTAAAACCCTAAACCCTAAACCCCCTCAGTCTCCTGAGCTCCTGGCAATCTTCGATCTCCTTGTTGAACTCGTCATAGTCCCCCTGCACTCTAAGGTTTAGGGTTTAGGGTTTAGGGTTTAGGGTTTAGGGTTTAGGGTTTAGGGCACTCTGAGGTTTGAACCATGGGCCCTTGGTATGGCCCCCTTTCCCTAGCTTTCTAGAGATCCGAAGTACGGGCCCTTGTCATAGTGTACATGAGGGTTCTGTAGAATGGTCCTCTTGGTAGCCCAGTAACCATACTATAAGAAGGGCACCCTTTTTGGGTTGGTTTCTTTATAAGGGAACCTTGAAACAAAAAAAAGGAAAAGGGCACCACACCCTAAACCCTAAACCCTAAACCCTAAACCCTTAAGGTACCAAGTCCTCAAATTAGGGGCCGATACTCCGGACCCTAGATGCACTCGTGAGTTCAACTGGCGCGCGCTCGGAGCCCTGAACCTCCTAAAGCCCCGTTTAGGGTTTAGGGTTTAGGGTTCAGGGCTTACAGGGCTTACAGGGCTTAAAGGGCTTTTGGGGGGTTTCTAGGGTTTATACCGGTTGTACGGTTTGTAGGGCCCCTAGGGTTTACAGCAGTGTTTCTAGGGTTGTTGAAGGGCTTTTCGGGGCTTTAGGGTAGCAACTCTCTATACCCGATTTGGAGCTGCGCGAGGTGAATTTCAAATCAGGGCTCCATACATCATCGAACGTCTAAGGTGCCGAGTACGGGCCCTTAATTTGGCTCCCTTGTTATAAACCCCTTAGATACACTACAAGTAGTAAGGGCCTATACTTCGGATCCGAAAAGAGCAAGGGCAAGGGACCATACGAAGGGACCATGGTTCCGGCCTCAGAGAAGGGATGTAAAATTGCAAGCTGTGCCCAATTCGTACTTACCAGTAGAAAGCAGACCTTACAAGTTCTACAGCAGGAACACCTGAAGTCCTGAATCTGCTACCAGCAGACAGTTTGGTGGAGGGTCCAGGGTCTGAGGTAGGGTTTAGGGTTTAGGGTTTAGGGTTTAGGGTTTAGGGTTTAGGGTTTAGGGTTTAGGGTTTAGGGTTTAGGGTTTAGGGTTTAGGGTTTAGGGTTTAGGGTTTAGGGTTTAGGGTTTAGGGCCTGAAGTTTGGGGCCTTAGGGTTTAGACTTCTGAGATTCATTGCTTGGGCTTCTTGCTCCTAAAAGTGGCGACTCTACAGGCCAACTGGCCCTAAGTGACTCGACGTTGTTCTGAGGGCTCATCCCCAAACCCTAAACCCTAAATCCTAAACCCTGAACCCCGTGGGAACTTATTCGGCCCGGGATCCAACAAAGGAACCACAAACTCCAACTGCCTAAGCCTAGGCCTCCAGGAAATCCACGAAACCCTACCAGCCCAATGGAAACCCTATACCCCTGTGCAAAAACCTAACCTCACAGGCCCTAAACCCCTAGATACCCCAATAAAGCGGCCCGCCTCGAACTCGGAACTTCGCCATTCTGAGCAGCTCATGGGCGACGCGAGGGGAAGCCCGTTGGCCCTGCGGCACAGAAACGACCCTAAATTCCGTAGGGTTCTAAGATCTGGGTGTTTACGAAACTAGACCCAGTAACCTAGTAATATCAAGGGTACCCTTTTTGGTTTTAAGGGGATGATAAGGGAACCGCAACCCAAAAAAAGTGAAAAAAGGGCCTACTCCCGGTCCTAGGAAAAAGGGAACCCCTAAAATAGACCCCCAAATAGTAGGATCCCCTTGGAATAGGACCCCTTTGAGGTACACCGAACTAAACCTTGCTAGCCCAGTGACCATATTTTGAAAAGGGCACCCTTTTTTTGGGCTGGCTACTTTATAAGGGAACCCAGAACCCAACACAAGTGTAAAGGGCACCACACCCCTTAAACCCTAAACCCTAAACCCTTGGGTTACCAAGAAACCCGCAGAGCCTGAGGTTGCAGCGTTCCGTAAAGGCATTGGGGGCAAGCCGCAAGCCCCGAGGCCCCTCAAGCAACCGCCCTAAGCCCACCTAAGCCCCAACCCCAAACCCCAAACCCCAAACCCTAAACCCTAAACCCTAAAACCTAAACCCTAAACCCTAAACCCTAAACCCTAAAACCTAAACCCTAAACCCTAAACCCTAAACCCAAACCCTAAACCCTAAACCCTAAACCCCCCAAGCTGGCCTGGACTTCCTGCGGCGACCTGGCAGGTCCAGGGTGTAGACCATCTTGAAGCCGGCCCCTGGTGTGATGGCTTAGGGCTTAGGGCTTCAGGGGTTTAGGGTTTAGGGTTTAAGGCTTACTTGGAGGTTCATGGTACTTAGTAACCAATTATAACTGCACTTATAACCCACTTATAAGCCCCTTAAGTGCCCGAATAAATGGTTACAAGTACAAGTATAAGTACAGTTATAGTTGGTTGCTATGTACCACGAACCTCCAAGTAGGGCTTAAGGCTTAGGGTTTAGGGTTTAGGGTTCAGGGCTTACTTGGAGGTTCATGATACTTAGGAACCAATTTATATCTGTACTTACAACCCACTTATACGCCCCTGAAATGCCCTAATATGGTTATAAGTACAAGTAGAAGTACAGTTATAGTTGGCATCAGGTGAATCAATAGTGAATGAAATTGTTTACAAAAATATAATTTACCATGAACCTCCCAGTAGGGCTTAAGGCTTAGGGCTTGGGGCTTATAGGGCTTAAGTCAACACCCTGACGATGCCTTATTCGGTATTATTTAGATATATGATACAAGGTGGCCTAGACCCTTAGCCCAGAACCCGGAACCATTTCCAAGACACAGTAAACGCCAAAAGGCTGAGAATGAAAATTTGCAGCTAAGAGCCACAAAACCTTTGTAAGTTCGTAAGGCGCTGAGCTGTTTTAGGGTTTAGGGTTTAGGGTTTAGGGTTTGCGGTTTTGAGCCCATCGATCCGAAGGGGGACGTACTCAACAAACCCTAAACCCCATACCCTAAACCCTAAACCCTAAACCCCACACCCTAAACCCTGACAGGGTTCATCTAGTCCCCAAAGTGAACGGTGTAAGATTTCTCGAAGCTCGGTTTTGTTGCGGGGTTCTCAGGCTCTTCAAGTGTAGGGAGTAAGGCTGAGCTTCCCAAACGATTAGGGTTTAGGGTTTAGGGTTTAGGGTTTAGGGTTTAGGGATTAGGGTTTAGGGTTTAGGGTTTAGGGTTGCGCTGCCAAAGAATTTCGGAAGCTCGACCGCAGGATGGTTTCTGGAGCTCGCGAGGCACGCAAGCAGGTCCTACTTCACGGTCGCAGGACTTCGCTGCCACCCAGGAGTCAAAGAAGGGTTTAGAGTCTAGGGTTTAGGGTTGCATGGTGTTTCATTTCACAAAAGTTGGGGCCTGATAAGTTGGGGCCTGATTTATCCAGGCAGCAGGAGGCACGGTTTAGGATTTACCCTAAACCCTAAACCCGAAACCCTAATTTTGTGTTGACATCTCCTGCCGTGCCCAGGCCGCAGCAACGAGACATGGTGCCAATCGGCCTCTTGGTTCGTGGCGCATGATGCTGTCGGTCCCTTTGCAGTAAGACCCTTAGGCTGTACTCCCCTTAGAACCTTAACCAAAAAATATATTTAATATCCTCTTGGGTATAGGGTTTAGGGTTTAGGGTTTAGGGCTTGGGTTTCATATAAACAAAAATGAAAAAATAATTCCCAAGGGGGATATAGTAAGATAACCCCGTCAAATCTATGATCCCTCGGCAGTGAAACTCCATGTTCCACGAAGGCTCAGATTCCAAGTCTCTCGGGAGACCATGACTGCGCTAAAAGGTGCCCTCCAGGTTTGGGGTTTAGGGTTTAGGGTTTAGGGTTGCATCGGAGCCGAAAGGGTTGCATGCCTCAGAGAGTGGCTAGCAAGAGGCTGAACCAAAAAACCTCCTGACGGGGTGGCGTCAGATTCGTATATGGGGTGTTGGCAGAATACACCCTAAACCCTAAACCCTAAACCCTAAACCCTAAACCCTAAACCCTAAACCCTAAACCCTAAACCCTAAACCCTAAACCCTAAACCCTAAACCCTAAACCCTAAACCCTAAACCCCATCCTAAACCCTCAGTTGACCCAAGCTTTATGTAATGCAAGGCTCAAGGCTCAGAGTTTGTATGTTGGTTCTTGGGGCTTAGGGTTTAGGACTGCAGAGACTGGGGGGCTGGCCATCAGGCATTTCTTTTGAGGTGGGAGTTAGAAGTTTCAGAGAAGAGGCCGTATGGTTTCTGGGTTCCGACGGGTCTATAGAGGTAAGTCTTAAGGCTTAGTCGAGTTAGGGTTTAGGGTAAAGGACTGATAGGGCATGTCCCACTGTTACCTGCAAGTAGGTTCCTGAATTCGGGGCCCTGTTGGGGCACAGGTACCTGTTTTTGGATATTTGAATACGCGTGAATAATAACGTAAAAGCATGCACCAACAAACCAACACGTGAACACCAGGACGAAGAGAGAAAAGCCCGCCTAAACGCCCATAAACAGGAACGTGAACAAACTTTAAACTTTGAGACAGATTCTGGAAGAGGAAATCATTTGTAACCACTGAAAAAAAACTAGGAGGAAAAGCCCCCAATTTCTTGTTGTTTCGTGCGGTATTACATTAGGGCTTCTGGTACGTTCATGGTAAGCCCCCATAAATAGACATACCCTAAGCCCTAAACCCTACTCCCCATTCCCTAAACCCTCGACCCCTAACCCCCTAAACCCTAAACCCCTAAACCCTAAACCCCTAAACCCCAAACCCTAACCCCTAAACCCCTAAACCCCTAAACCCTAAACCCCAAACCCTAACCCCTAAACCCCTAAACCCCTAAACCCTAAACCCTAAACCCCTAAACCCCTAAACCCTAAACCCCAAACCCCTAACCCCTAAACCCCTAAACCCCTAAACCCTAAACCCCATTCCCTAAACCCTAGACCCCTAACCCCCTAAACCCTAAACCCCTAAACCCTAAACCCTAAACCCCAACCCCTAAACCCCTAACCCCTAAACCCTAAACCCTAAACCCCTAAACCCCTCAACCCCAAAAAAGCACTGGGAAGCCCTTGGTGCCCCGGCCGACGCAATGCTGGCCAAAGAGCCCCTTGGCCCGAAGCATGGCGAAGTTTCGCACCTAGGCCGACTAGGGTTTAGGGTTTAGGGTCTAGTAGGTAGTAGTAGGGTTTAGGGTTTAGGGTTTAGGGTTTAGGGTTTAGGGTTTAGGGTTTAGGGTTTAGGGTTTAGGGTTTAGGGTTTAGGGTTTAGGGTTTAGGGCTGTCCGAAGCATGGCAAGGTTTCGCACCTAGGCCGACAGCGGTTTTGGGGGTTGTTGAGGGTTGAGGGTCTAGGGTTGAGGGTTGCCCGTGTTTGGGGTTGTGGAGGGTTAGGGGGTTCAGGGTTTCGGGTTTAGTGTTGGGTTTTGGGACTTACTTCGGATTCAGGGTTTAGGGTTTAGGGTTTAGGGTTTAGTGTCAGAGAAAGATCTTCGCCACTCCACTGCGCACATCTCAACCCTAAACATAAAGCCCATGGAAGAACTGATCCGCACGTAGAAGACTAAGAAAAAGTCCAGGACGGCCTAGGGGGCAACGAGCCTGGCCAACCCTACAACCCTGGACCCCAAACAAACCAGCGCAATAACCCTAACGCTCAAACCCACGAAAAGAAAATAAAACCTACAACCATATACAGACCTTATAAACCCCAAGCCCTGTTGCCCGGGATCCTTCCGTGTGTTTGGGGTGTTAGAGTTTTAGAGTTTAGGGTTCTCGGGTTCCGGGTGAAGTGTTTAGGGTTTAGGGATTTCGGGCGCTGTGTATGAAGCCCTGAACCCTATAAACTCCGAACCCTGACACCGTCAACTCTAAACCCTAAACCCTAAACCCTAAACCCCAAACCCTAAACCCTAAACCCTGAAGCCCTAAACCCTAAAACCCAAACCATCTGATGCCGGAAGACCGCAGAGGTCTCCTGTGCTTCATCCAAAGCTGTATCATTCCTATTGCGCCTTCGGGTTTAGGGTTTAGGGTTTAGGGTTTAGGGTTTAGGGTTTAGGGTTAGGGTTTAGGGTTTAGGGTTTTGGGTTTAGGGTTTTGGGGTTTAGGGTTTAGGAGCTTGTAAGCTTACACAACAAGTCTTCAGGTGTTCTGGAGTTCTGGCTGGTTCGAAGTGAAGTTTGCGACCCCCATGGGATGAAATCCTGAGAACCCAAACACCAAAGCAAAACCCCAGATCCCTTAACCGGCCCCTCGTGATAGCCCAGCACCCTGCTACATAATGAGCGTACCCTTTTTGGGGTTGGTTGCATTATAAGGGAACCTTGAACCACAAAATGGGCAAAAGGGTGGCCTGAACCCGAAACCCAGCACCCTAGGGTTCAGGGTTTAGGGTTTAGGGTTTAGGGTTTAGAAAGAACCCTGAACCGGAAAAGCCCTTTTCGGCCATTCTTCAGCAGCCGCGTGCGAACCGGATCACGAGCGCTACGCTTGTGCCCCGGATTCGAGGGCTTCTTTCGGGAGGGTTTGGGGTTTAGGGTCTAGGGTTTAGGGTATGTAGGGTTGCTGGGACGCCCCTTAAAACACTCTGAAAAATGTGCCTGAATATGATCCTCTTAAAAGTTTGGGGGTTCGGGTAGCAAGTATATCCCAAGGACCTCCCTAGGTTTATGGTTCTACCTCTTGGTAGGCCAGGAACCAGATTGTAATAAGGGCACCCTTTTTGGGGTTGGTTACTTTAACCTTGTACCAAAAAATGGGAAAAGGGTACCACTGGGCTACCAAGACCTCCTGTTGCTTTGGCAAGTTCGGAGGCTCAGGGTAGCGCAAGCGTCTTCTACACACCTGAACGCAGCCCTAAACCCCCCCCCCAATCTTCAACCCTACAACCTGAACCACTTTGTGAGCCTTTTCTAAGCTTGGCTGCACTTAGCAGGGTAGCTAAAAAAAGTTTTTAGCTGCCTTATTCAGAAACCCAGTAAACCTAAAAAGGCTAAGGATTTAAAGTTACAGTAAAGCACCACAGAGTAAGCCCTTGCCTAGCCAGCCCAGACTCTACCCTGCACCATGCCCCCAATTATTTCGCATGGACCTGCGGTTTGTCTCGTTTCCCAACTTCGGGCTTAGGCTTTAAGGGGTTTCGGGTCAGGGTTCGTGCGATAAAGAAGTGCGGCGTAGGGTTTAGGGTTTAGGGTTGAGGGTTAGAGGGTTGTAGGGGACGCAAGGGCTTATGGGGTTGAGGGTTTAAGGATGTAGGGGTTTGGTGTGTGTAAGCTGCTGGCATCCAATCTACGCCTCTCAAAAGCCTCCCAAACATACGCCCAAACTCTTCAGCGCTGTAGGTTTAGGGTTTAGGGTTTAGGGTTTAGGGTTTAGGGTTTAGGGTTTACGGTTTAGAGTTTAGGGTTTAGGGTTAAGGGTTTAGGGTTTAGGGATGTCCTTTGATGTCCTGAAAGCCCTAAACCTGGAGCCCTCTCTCATATGCCCCCAAGCCCTAAGCCACCCTAGACACTTGAACCCCTAGTCCCTGCAACTACCCGCCCTTAAAAAGGGTTTAGGGTTTAGGGTTTAGGGTGCTTGCGGATGTTAGGTGCAATGGTTTCTTGAGCTGATTGAGCTGAAGACACAAGCAAGGCTTACAGGGGACAGGTCATGTAAGGACACATGCCCACCGACTACTCTGTACAGTTCACAACATCAGGAGCTTGTCGCCAGTTTCCATGCGTGTAACCTGCAGACATGTGGGGGGGGGGGGGTTGTCTCATTCACGGGTCATTGTTGGGTTCCCAAGAAGTGGCAGCATCAGGCTCCATCCGGATCGTAATCTTAGTTGCTGAGTTCATAAGCCCCAAAAAAGTGTACACTGCCAGTTCTATAGGGGATTCTAGAATCCCAAAAAGTGCAAAGTGTGCTCGCCCAGCTACTAAGCAATAGGAGCTCCCCCCCCCCAATCCCCACAGTGCTATGGCTTGGAGAACCGGGCTTTTAGGGTTTAGGGGTAGGATGCAGTCTGCTGGGAAGGTCTCGGAGTCCGCGGTATGTTTCTTCGATGGCGCTGTCAGAAACCCAAGCGCGGATTGTCACAAGCAGGATTTTAAGGCTTAGGTTGCTGGGGAAGGGGGGGGGGGGGGGCTTGGGGGGGGGGGGTTGGGGGGGGGGGGGCTTGGGGGGGGGGGGGCCTCATCAAGTTGCGCGGGTTCAGACGGTCGAAGCCTTGGGAACCAGAGCCCAGATCCTCGGGAACCCTAACCCAAAACCCAAAACCCAAAACCCTAAACCCTAAACCCTAAACCCAACCTGATCAGCCTTCTCTCATGCGCAGCAACGCCATCTTTCCGCAACTCATCATGAGACGGGGATGTCACAGAAGATCCGATCGACATGGAGTCCATCTGTGAATTCAAAAAGAAACCTAGACCCGGGAGTCACCTAGGAATAAAAAGGTTTAGGGTTTAGGGTTTAGGGTTTAGGGTTAAGGATTTAGGGTTTAGGGCTAGACCCGGGTGTAAGCTAGGAATAAAAGGGTGCCCTTGTTGGTTTGAAGAGATTTATAAGGGAACCCCAACCCTAAAAAAAATGAACACAGGGGCCTACTCCCGGTCCTAGAAACTCTTGAGAAAATGTTCTTGGGTAGCTCTCGTCATCCTGGCCCACATTAGGGGGCGCCAGGTGCGGATCACAAGCTGTCAACCCCAAACCCTAAACCCTAAACCCTAAACCCTAAACCCTAAACCCTAAACCTGAATGCTTGTTTGTTGTGTTCCCTGTCTGCTTACTTCTGGCACCCCAAACCCTAAACCCAACCCTAGGCGGGCTTAACGGCGTACCTTTTCTACACCCTTTTGTATATATCAGTCTTATCACACCCGTTGTAGGCTTCTTAGGCTTACAAGAAAGTTTAGGGTTTAGGGCTGGGAGGTGGAACCGTTGGCGCCTTCACGGTTGAGGGCACGGACCTTTACCTAGAGAAACTGCTCACAACGAAAGGACAAAATACCAAACATCCCCAGAAGAGTGTGCCCCCCTCCCCCATTTGGTTGAAATGCGTCACTCTCCTAAAGCAACAAAGCGTTAAAACCCTAAGCCCTAAAACCCTAACCCTGACTAAACCCCTCAGCTAGCCGACAAATCCTCAACCCTGAGCCCTAAGCCCTATAAACCCTAAACCCTAAACCCTAAACCCTAAACCCTAAACCCTAAACCCTAAACCCTAAACCCTAAACCCTGATTGAACCCTTCCCTTAGGAACAGGAGCTACCCAGCCCAGATGGAACTTGTGCAACAAGCGTCGCTGGGAAAGCCAGGGATGCCACTGTCCGGCGGCAAAGCTCTTTAGGGCTCAGGGTTCAGGGTTTAGGGTTTAGGGTTTAGGGTTTAGGGTTTAAGGTTTAGGGTTTAGGGTTTAGGGTTTAGGGTTTAGGGTTTAGGGTTTAGGGTTTAGGGTTTAGGGTTAGGCTGAGGATTCGCAGCATTCCTGGTGGCGCCTCAGCCTGTACCCCGCGCCTGGTTTCACCAGACAGCCGAGGAGGCTTTGGGAAAGGAACGTCCGGCGGATTTTGGAGTTTAGGGTTTACGGATTAGAAGGTGCAGGGTTTAGGGTTTAGGGTGGTATAGGGCTTACATTCCTCACGAGGTAACTCAGCCAAAAGGTCGATATGAGACTAACCGGGACTCGTTGTCCCGGCCGCGCTGTTCGCGCAAGCGGCCTGTGCAAGGAAAATGACCGGGAGACTCTACACTACTATTTGCTTAAGAACCCCAAAAGAATAAACGACAATAATACCTAAATAACCCTCGCAAGGAAGAATATCCTCTCTCTCTCTCTCTCTTTCTTTATCTTTCTCTTTATCTTTTAACGTTATTTTGAGGGGGGTTCTTCAGCAAATAGCAGTACAGCGAGACGATCAAAATTGACATGTATCCATATGGAATTTACGACACAGCTCCCGACCAGTCAAGGTGATGCCAAGGACATGTATGAATGAGGGCCCTAAACCCTACACCCTAAACCCCACACCCCAAACCCTAAACCCTAAACCCTAAACCCTAAACCCTACACCCCCCGGAGTGCTTCCTTCTTGTGGCACAGTAGTAGATTCTCCCCCTAAACCCCTCTAAAAATGCTTCCTTCTTGTGGTGT